CATGCATCATAGCCTGGTTTAAGCACACCTGAAATCTGCATGTTTCATGCCACATAGCCTGGTTTAAGCACACCTGAAATCTGGATGTTTCATGTCACATAGCCTGGTTTGAGCACATCAGGAACCCAAATGTTTCTTGTTAAGCATATAATAAACCTGAACAGTTCCATTACGTTCATGTCACAAACAGCTATTTAGCATAAGGTTGGTCTGAATGGTTTTTACAACTGTATGCATCAGTCGAGATGTATCAGTTATAATCTAACAGACACCTACGCGCTAAGTCAAGAGAGCAGAGTTGCAGTCTACCATTACTGGGAATCTCACCATAACAGTTATAAATTCTTTGTAAATAACATGAGATTTAAAGGAAGTAAAGAAGTTGTATTTTTCAAGTAAGTTAGATATTACATAAATGGCACAAAATATGAGTATCAAAAAGAAATCAAATTCAGTAGAAGTTAAAAACTTCAATAGGAATGATATAACTAACCGCATCAACAGTGGTGACAAAAACCAAATTGTCAACAATCTGTCTTACATTTACCCATAGCATGTACCTGATATTCACAAAGAGGTGGATATTTCTGAAAAAGTCTGATAAACACTTTGCATCCTACAATGAACAATTCTCAAAATGAGCAATCTACTTAATGCCTTTGACACAATGAAAAATAAAAATATGGACCTGACATACCAAAACACAACAGACAAACAAAAAGAAATACATTTAACATTAAAGAAATGGATTGTGGGTGTCTCCTGGTCTGTATTCCGACTGCTTCAACTTTTCAAAGATCAGTACTGAAATAAATATTCACATTAACCTGATACACTGAGCACAGTTTACTTCAGTGAGTTGGGTTTGACTGAATTCCAAAGTGAGTCAGCTTATAGAGGAAGAAAACCAAAATGATGGGATCTTAGACAATACCCACTTACATGTCAACACTATACTCTCGTCATACACTCAATGTTTTATAGTTCAGCATACAATCATGGGTGAGTGAGTGAGTGAGTTTAAGTTTACACCGCTTTTAGCAATATTCCAGCAATATCATGGTGGGGGACATCAGAAATGGGCTTCACACAATGTGCCCATGTGGGGAGTCGAACCCGGGTCTTAGGCGTGACGAGCGAACGCCTTAACCACTAGGCTACCCCATCGCCCATGTGAAGAATCAAACCCAGGTCTTCAGAAGGACGAGCAGTGTGTAACCATGAGGCTATACAGTCATCAGTTTGAGGTAAATTACACCGTACATGGATAAATGAGGAAACTTCACTATTTCTATGTTAGTGGGAAAATTTTGAAGCAAATCGATGAAAACAAGCTACTTTATGTACTCCTTTATATTCCTGCAGTGACATTCTTTTGATGACATCTTCCGTCACACAGTGCACACCAAGGTAACCAGGGTGCTATGCATTGATGTCCTAGTTTAAAGAACATCGTTGTTCTACACCCATTTACTTCTGTTGTAGGCAACCCTTGACCTGTTCTTAACCATGTTTTTCTCACTTTCTACATGCAACAGAGACATGAATCTGTGATAAACTGACTTTCAAGTTTTGATATTCAGCTGCAGTGACTGACATTGGACTTGGTTAATTTTTGTCATTTGTTTGATTTCTGCAGAAAACAGAATGCCAGACCGGCAGACATCCAAGCATTCCATCTGTCCGTTTGTTTAAAGCTATAATGATGACTATGGCAGTCACACTGGAGGACTTTCGTTGAGAGGCTGGGTTGAAATACTGATGACTAGTATGACGCTCCTATACCTGTCTTGAACACAGTGAGCCAGTGAGTGAGGGAGTTGGGTTCAGCACCAAAGAAGATAACAAAGATGCTGAGGAATTTGGATCACCAAAAACCCTCGCTCTATATAAATGAAAGGTTATTTTGGGCCCTGGCAGTCAGTAATATCAATCATGCTATCCACTATAGGTCTACAACACAATGCCATCCAGTCACAATGTTAGGTAGTTTGGTGTTTGAAAGACTAACCGCTGTAAGTGAAATGGTAAAGATTCATCTATTGCACAAGGTATCCTAATATTTGAACTGCAGAAATAGATTTGTGATGAGCATAACTTTTAGACACTGCAACATCTGAAGCCAGTTACATCTTCAAATACTTTCCAAAAGTGGAGTGAGTGAGTGAGTGAGTTTGGTTTTACGCCGCTTTTAGCAATATTCCAGCAATATCACGGCGGGGGACACCAGAAATGAGCTTCACACATTGTACCCATGTGGGGAATCAAACCCGGGTCTTCGGCGTGACGAGCGGCAAACGCTTTAACCATCAGGCTACCCCACCGCCCCTCCAAAAGAGGAGGAATTCGGCCCCAAATGTTTATCAGTTACTATCATTACCCACCTAGGTCCTGACCACCCAGCAATGTTGGCACTCCACCTGCAGTAAACCAATGTTAAACTATGGGTGTTAAACTATCTTAGTGCTAAAATCACTTTGTGGAATGGGAGACCATTACCCTGCCATTTTTATATCTCAGAAAAATGAATTATCACCCATAAATATTTGGGAAATGACAAAACATAAATAAGGTACCAGTAAGATTAACGTTTTTCATATTTCTTCAAGGAGGAATGAACTGAAGACTTGACTGACAAGAGGTCAATAACATGCAATAACATGAAAAAAGAAAAACAGAAATTGGTAACATTAGGATGAAGTGTGTGGTTGTGAAGCCTTATTTCCCATAGTTCTTTAGTGAGTAACTGTATTCCAGGAATATCACGGAGTAGCAGCTTATTGGAGGAAAGCCTGAGTGAGGGAGTTTAGTTTTATGCTGCTTTTAGCAACATTCCAGCAATATCACGACAGGGGACACCAAAAATGGGTTTCACAGATTCAGACTTGCCTATCCCATGTTAAAGAAAATAGTAAGATCAGCTAAAAAAATAGTAAGGCAGTGCATTTGATAGTAGGGCATGTTAATGTCAAGAAATAAAGGAAAAACAAAGCTGGTTAATATAGTGTTTAATAGCCAAATGTGGTGCCGATCTAATTAACGTTTTTTAAAGTCTTTCACTTCGAAATAAACTTTACCAGCACTGTAAGATTAAAAAATTATTCATTTATAATGTTTATGATGCGACTTCTGTTTTTCAGTACTTTCTGTACAGTAAATGATTCTGTAAATAGCATGGGCATGCCTATATCTACAATTTATTTGTAGAAGACGTAAGGAATTTTAGTATGAGCGGAAGGTCGTAATGTAGCACCAAATATAGTAAGCCTTACGCCAAAATTGTAAGGGTAGGCAAGTCTGCAGATTGTACCCATGTGGGGAATCAAACCAGGGTCTTCAGCATGACGAGCGAACGCTTTAACCACTAGGCTACCCGCCGCCTGAAGTGAAGCAGGTCTTAGAACTTTGTCTTAGACCCTGGGTATGGTTGTGACAAACACTGACATGTAATCAAGGTGAAGATGGATTGGACCCAAGATTATAGGTTTATATTGCAGCATGGTTATACTTCATAACAACCATATGACACAGGAAGAACTAAAATAAGCTCAATCAAACATCTAATGCTTCATTCTGTTGTTTTTTTCACTCTCACAAAAGGGAAAAATGGACATAATTTTTCAAAAAGTTTATATCAGTGCAAATTCTAATGTCACCTTTTTGGCAAGCCCTTCGAGAATGAGATATCTATCATATTGCTGACTAACAGAAAGAGGGATGTTATTGTGTTTACAACATTTCTAGTATTATCTCATATTAGATTAAGTTCTCAAACACTGTTTCAAATAATCTGATCAAAATCCAAATTAATGAAATTAAATTTCTGAGTACACTGTTACAACCGATACATTCCACATGAAATCTTGACATGGTAAATAATAGAATGGACCATATCAGGACATTTGGATCACACTAAAATATGTCACTGCATAGTCTTTAACATGACATAAATATTCTGTGAAAATATCAAATTAATTACCAAATAATATAGGAATACTTGGATCATTAATTGGTGCAGACAATCAAATAATATTAGTAGAAGAGTGCCGTAGCATTATATAACTTGCAGTGCAACAAAACGTGTCAAAAGTTTCCAGTGATGAATTATAGCATCAAAAGGCACTTGGAAATTATAGAAAATAGTTCTGAAGCACTCGCATTTTTCACTTCCAATCTCTGTCTTTTGACTTGTATTAGGCCTAACATCCTTGATTGCCCAGTGTCATAAACCTCCGCTCTGTTGTAAAATATACTGTTCACTCAACACTTTGTTTCCAAAATAACTACACCTCTTGCATTGATCTTATCACTAACTCAACACAGAATATTTCTTGCCCATGACCCTGAAATTAACTGTCAATCAAAATGCCACTCGGTGTTCAGTATTGTTGGTTTGTTGTTTAACGTCACACTCAGCAATATTCCAGCTTCATGGCGATGGTCTGTAATTAATCGAGTCTGGATCGGACAATCCAGTGATCAACAGCATGAGCATCGGTCTACACAACTGATATATGATGTCAGAGAGTCTGACCACTCATCCTGTTAGTCGTCTCTTACGATGGGCTTCAGTGTCTATGTAGAGCTACACTTGAAACAGTGGCTGGGATGTGTATGATTCCGCGATATTGCTAATTGGATAATAAGAATGTCATAAATGAACAGTTACTCGGAAATAATGTTTCTAGTGCTAAAGAGTTCTTCAAAGATATATCAGTTGCGTGTGAGACAACCTGCCCTTGTCAAGACAGGTATAGTAGCGAAGTGAAGAAGGATTTACGCTGCTTTTAGCAATATTCCACAAATATCACAGAAGGGGACAACAGAAATGGTGAGTGAGTGAAGTTAGTCTGACGCCGCTTTTAGCAATATTCCAGCAATATCACAGCGGGGGACACCAGAAATGGGCTTCACACAATGTGCCCATGTGGGGAGTCGAACCCGGGTCTTAGGCGTGACGAGCGAACGCCTTAACCACTAGGCTACCCCATCGCCCCCAACAGAAATGGGCTTGACACATTATACCCAAGCATGTAACAGAACCTGGGTCTTCTGTGTGACAAGTAAAGCTACAGTACATGTGATACTTGTTAGAATTATGACCAAAATAATAATGTAACCTGATGTTTATTCTTCAACATCTAAACCAGATTCAAAACCAAAATATGGTGGCGAGTGGCCCTGTGTTTAGGCTAACAGAATGGAGTCTATGTACCCTGGATAATTAAAGATGTCAGGGAAATTGTTGGCTGATTAAATGCAAGACAGTGCAGGTCATTGTATACCAGTTGATGAACAAAAGCTGAAATGTTCATCTCACAGAACGTTTTCGTCAAATTAATATTATGCAAAATATTCCTCAAGTCTAATTACAGTAATACAAACACATGGTACAAAATCTACTATATACTTGACCAGTTATGAACATATTCTTCGAGAAGTGTTATGGGGATATGCATGCTTTGTTATTCAATCTGCCAATAAATAAGAGATCAGTGATTGGAAAAATATATATGGCCATGGCAAAAAAGGGAGTGTCAGCGTATTGGTAGGTGAAGGAAGATGAAGAGATAAGATACAATACATGTAGTTTTAATGTGAGTATGTACCAAACAAGTAATGTTTTCAGTCACTTCGAATTTGTTAAATCAAATCCATCAGTATTGTATCTACATTTTAAACACTGAAGATAAACGTTTGTTTTTCAAAACAAAAAGGGAAACAATCTGTCAAAACCTTATTTCATTTTGTCTAAACACACTAAGTTCAATCAACATAACGAGACATTCCTATGCAAGACAAAGGAGGTAATGAAAGAAATGCTATAATTAGTGTATTGCTTAATAAGACAAAATTGCCACTTATTAATAAGGAAGTGACATCAATTAATTATGTACAGTAATATTTTTTTCACTTTTCAGAAAATATATAACAAGCAGGATCTCATCAGTGACGTAGGTGGGTAGTAGTGGGTAGTACTGGGTATAGTACTAATTACAAAGTCATTCAATACACTAACGACATACCAGTTTGACTTGTCATATATGTACAATACACATTACTATATACACAGTGGAATCATATCTGCTGAGACCCAGGTGTGGGGAAAGTTCAGTAATAGATAGTGATGGTCTATGTGATGGTCACAGCAGTATCCAGTTCTACGGAATCCAAACACTCTTTGGAATTGACAGTCAGCACAACCAGTCAAAGGGAGATAACTCTTACACGAAAAACAACATCATCTAACATGTCTTCATTCATTAATATTCAAAGGGAGATACCTGCTGCATGGAAAAAAACATCTTCTGACATAATGTCTTCAGCATTTAATATCCAAAGGGAGAGAACTGTTACACGGAAAAACATCCTCTCACATAATGTCTGCATTCATTAAATATTGTTTACTTCATAAAAGGTCCTACACTATAGCGTCTTCAGTGAAATATTGTAAAAATGATAAGTTACATTGGTAACATTTTGATGTAATTTCAGAGTAATCCATTTCATGTGTATTTTGCTGAACTATAAAGCCGAACTACAGCAGCATGCAAGTAATCCTACATCTACAAGGTTTTAAGCTTGTTGTAGAGAGGAGCTACTGTGGTCCCAGTTTCCAACCAAACCCCATATTTGTGCTTACTTCATCATTTCCTTGACAGAATTAGAGAAATGATACAAACATAACCAGCATTTCTAGTTTCTTAACATACACATAAATTTAATGAAATTAAAATAGGACGGCTTACCTACCGGTAATTATGTTCATAACTCATGAATAATTAACTGCAAAATATAATGCCTCAAAATGACAAATAAATGCAATTGGAATCACAAGATTTGTACTTGACCATCCGTTGGAGCTCAGTCTGATAAAAAATGCAATGCAAAAATACAGGCATGTCACAAAAAGTGGTCTGGGCTAATAAAGTGCTGTTGATATCAAAATTTGATACATTTCTATTTGTGGGTCCAACCCAAAGCCACTTTAATAATAAACAAATAGCATCGAACCAGTACAGCAATGATCATGACTGGAGGAAAGCCTCTGTTTAAGATTAATGGTTTCATTGTTAAGCTCAATGACGGCTCAATCTAATGAACTATCAATAACACATATAAAACGTGGCTCGTAAGTTGTTTTCAAATTCAGTACTGAAAACACACATCACTTTAACAATCCTTTCCAAATTTATGTGAAGAATAAGAAGTTAATATTTTTGCATTTGTTAGTATTTTCTTTCTAAGCATGGTTAAGACAATTAAAATAAATGGCAGCAGAAGCAAATGACTGACTAGCATATGACTAATGACTCTCTGAATGTTGTGGTTGGTGCAGACAATAATTGGAGCCTTGCGGAGGGCATATTGAATATTTGATTGTCGTGACAACACTGGCAACTCCCTTTGGTAGTCAGGTTAATTCATTCCTTCATTTGCCCTAAAAGGTATACACATAAAATCGGTGAAATGCTTGCTACTTTGAAATGGCTTCATGTATATATGAATATCATGCAGACAATCTGAAAGATCAAGTCATCTTATCCTGTATCCTTCCCCAGTCACTACTGATAACATATCAGTCATTCCACATCCTAAAAGATCATCCAAGATCACTGATGCAGTACTTGACTGGACAAATACTAGTGGAAAAACAATTCCTGTGCACCATAAAACATCACACTGAAATAAAATAACTGCCATGATTTTGTAATGCAATGAATACCCATGATGACCCTAAACTTACATGCACATCACTATCATTGTATGTACTGCAGGAGTCAACACTTTCACACAATCACAGTAAACAACTGACTACGTCTGTTCAAATATACAGTAAATTGTTGAATTGTTTGAACTGTGAAAAGCAACTCTGTTGACAGCCAAACATCATAAACAACATACCATGCCAGTCTGGAATAAGTTATTGCTTCAGTTGGCATACAGGAAGCCAGAACCACACAATGTTGACGGTCGGTGTTTTGGCATTTATCGAACATTGTACATCCAATTTCGACTCCAAAGACAGCATCTGAGGTTCAGGTTATGAGACTGGGGGTCAGTCGTCGTCTATGAAGAAGTCAGGTTTCATTTTACAGTAGTAAATGCCATCAGTGATAACTGAGGTTAGATGGAGCGTTGCACTGATCTGTGTTGTTGGTTGAACATTACGATGGCATGTTGTGCAATGTTCTACATTCTGTTGTGGGAGTATAATGGCGTGGGAAGCATTACCTCACATAACAGCACCCCTTGTCAATGGTAATATGACAAGTGAACGGTACTGAGATAAAGCTGTCTAGCCTTTTCCTGTAGGCCCATAGACACATACTTAACTGCAGGACAATACCCACCCTGAGTTGTCATGTCGGCCAGATCAACTGCCAATCAAACGTGTGGGCCAGATCAACTGCCAATCAAACGTGTGGGATAAAACGAAACATCATTTATGCCAACTTCTAAACCAGCCCAGCTGTGATAGACCTTTGTTCTGATTTGGAATGACGTCCAACAACCCTTCTGCAACCATCTTGTACCATCAACTTCTCAGCGTTGTCAAGCTTGTGTAACTACCTTGGTGGACATACTTGATAATGACCTGTGGACTGACAACTGACCAACAGGTTCAGTCTGAGACAACATTTACCCAGGATATATATGTTGCCATTCATTGTTCATGGACATCAACATATTATTGGAAGTTCCATCTCTGTCTACTTTAGTTATTATTTGCCATGACTGTCAATGATGTACAGGAACATTTTTCCATTAGTATATGTTTTCTTACCATCTCTCCCAAGCAGTAAGTAAAAGTTTGAGGAGTATCTATGTAAAAAATGGGATATGGTTTCAGAAAATGGTAAAGGTAAGTTAAAAGGTAAGTTGTTCTGGTCAGCTGAGCTTTTGTTCAAAATACCAATAAACAGGGACATTTCTATTGTGTGTAAGAACAGAGGATATATAACATCTGATAATGAACTCATAAACAACAGGTTAAGACCGAAGTATAAATTATGCAGTTGTTGTTCCTCAGGAATCTGTCCATAAGATTAAAGGCTAAGGAGGCAGTTTTCTCTTTTTGTGTTTCACAAAACCCTCCAGATTGAAAAGCCCAATTTGATGACTTCAGTAAAATGTGTTTTGTTCACATTTTTAATGCTTAACGATGATGTGGGTTGATCTGAGGGTGATTCAAATGCAAATCCCTGGTATGTTGGTTGGTAGTCAACGTATAGAACTTGGGGTTGGGATTTTGGGTTTAGTGTGTAACCAGTAGACTTATGGGCAGTGAGACACACAAACATGAAAAACATCACCCATACTATTATCAGCATAAACTTCAAGACATGTGCAGAATTATCAGAAAACCAATCCAGTGTTAAGGTTCTCTGTCATACAGCACTCTAACAAGCTGTGACAGTTTTACTAGTTAATGTCCCCGTGATGCAGTCTCCCAATCAGTTATCTTTGAAAACTCTTGTCACACATACACACTCACACAGCAGAGAGACACACACACATGCTTCCAGTGAACCAAGTAGTGCAGCTGATCCACTTCCCCGGCCCCCGTCATCTGTACCAGCTGAACTCGTCCTACTGGCCTCGGGATGAGGTATAGCTTATCCTGGTGTGGGAGATCAACTGAGGTTCAACCTAAAATGTGTCCACATCACTGCTGTTTCTTGTCTTGACTTCGTCGTTTCGGTGGTGCAATGAAGGTATAATACACTATAACACCAATAGACAGTATATGCATCCACCAGTAAAACGATCTGGAAAAAAGCAAAGGAAAGAAATTTAATGATTGATAAACCTGATGATGCATTGCAGTTGTTTAAGGTACGATTGCAATATCAATGACAAGTTGAAATATCTGTTCTTATCATCAATGCTAAGCTTCATTTTTGCTCATTGTGGACACTCTCCCATCCAGAAACAGTAAGATGTGATGACTCTTTACAACATACATGGTCAATTCAAACAATTATGTTTATTTTTATTTTATTTTGAAAAGTCTATATATTTAACAAAATATGTCATGAAATAGACCACTTTTATTGAGAAAGTTTTGTAAAATGTAAGAAACTATTTCCCTATTCGTATTTATCTGTTTATTTTTTTACAAGACAGTGAAGCCAAGTTCAGTTAGAGGTAGTGGTGCAAGCACTTTGATGTTTGAATATTTATTGTCACAGTGCTCTATAGTACCTTGATTGTAAAATCTGCAAAAATGATTGGCTGCCATAAGATCATCAGCTCTGATTTCACAACACGTGTTTGTTCACAAAGAGATATGAACAAACTGACAAACTCTGATGTCACGTGATATGCAAATTAACTTGTGGTAGAGGTGTAATCCTACGTCATCCATTCAGTGAAGTGTGATCTTTGAGGCTAAAAATGACTTGCAAAAGCCATAAACGTGTTATACTTCATGAGTTACTTGTGTGAGTGAGTGAGTGAGTGAGTGAGTGAGTGAGTGAGTGAGTGAGTGAGTGAGTGAGTGAGCCTAGTTTTACGCTGCACTCAGCAATATTCTAACTATATGGCGGTGGTCTGTAAATAATCGAGTCTGACAAGAAAATCCAGTGATCAACAGCATGAGCATCGATCTGCGCAATTGGGAACCGATGACATGTGTCAACCAAGTCAGCGAGCCTGACCACCTGACCCCGTTAGACGCCTCTAACGACAAGCATGGGTTACTGAAGATCAATACTCTAACTTCCGGGTCAGTTACTTGTGTGAAGTCTACATGATAATATACTACCCGGACCTTCACGGGTCATTACTTGTGTGAAGTCTACATGATAATATACTACTCGGACCTTCACGGGTCAGTTACTTGTGTGAAGTCTACATGATAATATACTACCCGGACCTTCATGGGCCAGTTACTTGTGTGAAGTCTACATGATAATATACTACTCGGACCTTCACGGGTCAGTTACTTGTGTGAAGTCTACATGATAATATACTACTCGGACCTTCACGGGTCAGTTACTTGTGTGAAGTCTACATGATAATATACTACTCGGACCTTCACGGGTCAGTTACTTGTGTGAAGTCTACATGATAATATACTACTCGGACCTTCACGGGTCAGTTACTTGTGTGAAGTCTACATGATAATATACTACTCGGACCTTCACGGGTCAGTTACTTGTGTGAAGTCTACATGATAATATACTACTCGGACCTTCACGGGTTACTTGTGTGAAGTCTACATGATAATATACTACTCGGACCTTCACGGGTCAGTTACTTGTGTGAAGTCTACATGATAATATACTACTCGGACCTTCACGGGTTACTTGTGTGAAGTCTACATGATAATATACTACCCGGACATTCACGGTCAGTTACTTGTGAAGTCTACATGATAATATACTACCCGGACCTTCACGGGTCAGTTACTTGTGTGAAGTCTACATGATAATATACTACTCGGACCTTCACGGGTCAGTTACTTGTGTGAAGTCTACATGATAATATACTACCCGGACCTTCACGGGTCAGTTACTTGTGTGAAGTCTACATGATAATATACTACTCGGACCTTCACGGGTCAGTTACTTGTGTGAAGTCTACATGATAATATACTACTCGGACCTTCACGGGTCAGTTACTTGTGTGAAGTCTACATGATAATATACTACTCGGACCTTCACGGGTCAGTTACTTGTGTGAAGTCTACATGATAATATAGTACTCAAAAGAAGATAACAATATTTTCCATGACCACAGTTAATCTGTCTTGGCATGAATCTATTTTGAAACAGTTTACTACATTACCATCATTCACATTTCATACTGATGATCGTAATAACCACATTCTGCTGTAATCAAAATATCGCTACCTTAAAACGAAACATCTACAATGATCCGTAATGATAAGCTGCTTGTATTATGAACACATAAAACATAAACATTAAGCTCCATTTATGTGACCTTTTTCATACTTACGTGTATAACTTTAGACCAGGCACAAACTCTAGGATGGCAAATGGCACACACATGTAGACATTTGCCATACGAGTGAACAAAAATGTAACTGCATCATAAAAGGCTTTCAGGCTATCGGATTTCAGGAACATTGGCCTAATATTTCTTCTTACCTGAAATAATGCAAAAATACAAATAAAAATGTAAAAAATCTAACCATAATATTGAAGCTATTTAAAGTAATTATGGTAACTGACAAGTGTTTTATAGTGTGAGTAACAACCACTTAAGAATATATCTTCAGCCTGACTACAGACAAAAGGACGTTTTCTCTGGTGGCCTCAAATTTTATCCAAAGTTATCCCCCATTATTCACCTCCCAGAACACCAGACATTAACAATGTAATGTTCCAGGCATCAACACTAGAACTATGATATAAGCAAAACTTATTTTCAAATCTTTTGTATTACTAACTGCCCCAAACAATTTCTTGTCCAGAATGTTTTAAAGATAGTTTTGATGATTCATGTTTTTTTCAAGAAGGAAAACTCTTTTCTTTACTTATTCTAATCTTTTGCATATGAGTGCAATACCTGCTCTTCTATCTTGGTCGTAAGTTGGTAAAATCATGTAACAGTCGGTAATGATACATCCTATACGAAGCAGCACTACAACAACTAAGTTTGTGTGAGTGAGTATGGTTTTACGCCGCTTTTAGCAATATTCCAGCAATATCACGGTGGGGACACCAGAATTGGGCTTCACACATTGTTCCCATGTAGGGAATCGAACCCGGACGTTCAGAGTGAAGAGTGAATGCTTCAAGCACTAGGCTACCCCACCACCGAGTGTGGACAAGCAAACCAGTGAGTGAAAACTTAAGAACTGATCATGCCATGAGAGCAGGATGACCCACTGCCAAGCAACAGAGGCTGACCACCAAATCCTCAGTAGTGGCATCAACATGCAGAGGCTACTTGGGACTTGCTTTCACCATCATGGAAGCAACTCTCCCAAATTCCAAAGAGTAGTTTTATTACACTCTGGTTGGGACAAGAAACCCCCACACTACAAACTATCTACAGTACAATAGAATTATTATTATATGTATTATTATTATTACAGCTATGTGATTCTGAAACTCAGTTGACAATTTTATTGCTAAGGTACTTTGTCAATGACAGATACTTCCAACAATACAAGTATATGATCTCGAATCTACAGATACAACACTACAACATACCAGTATATAAGCAAGATGTGTATATGGTTGTGTCTGACTAAATAATACCCTGTAACATGTCATGTCCTGCTTGTGATTTGACCCCACAGTCAGAATGAGGCATATCATCATCAGCAGACAAAGTCAGATTAGGTGCCTGACTCTGAGAGTGTGGGTTCGAATCCAAGATGGGACTCAACCCCCAAAGTACCAGAATCTATACTTTACTGAGAAAATGTAATCCCAAATATGACAAATTATGTAAATAATACTGTCTTTGCCAGTGTCTATGAAAAACAGACCTGATGATTTTAAGTAGGGTGGCATATTATCTGTGTGAGACAAAATCAAATTGTCCTACTTAGTGGTGTTCTGATGATCGAAAATAATTGAAAATCAATCGAAAGAAGGATTAAAAATGATTATCGAGTGTAAAAAAACCCATATTTTCGATTAATTGGAATTTTGTTGTTTTAGTTTAACACACTTGAATGAACTAAACTAGCGATTAAATTTGACGAATATTCACCAACAAACATGTGTTCAACAGCGTAAAGCTATGCGCATTGTAAAATTTTAACTACTTTTATTATTTAATTACAATTCCAGTGTCTTTCCTGCATGCGTGCATTTCATTGCATGACAGCATTAGTTATAAGGAACATTTATAAGAAAAAATCTGGGGGAAAACCCTTCAAATTGGTGATTTCATTAAAAATGAAAATATTTCGATTATAATCGATAATCGTTCACCACAATCCTCCGATAATCGATAGTGGATTTGGTTTCCGATTCCCGACACTAGTCCTACTTGATTCGTAAATCATAAGAAATGTGTGTCGCCAGGGGTCTACTACTTACATATCTTGCTGCAACTGTGAGTAGTGCTCCTGTGGCAAAACATACGTAGTAGCCTGGATAGAATCCATGCCAGAAAGCACTGACGGAGAAGACGGCTAGAGTGTTGAACTTGGGCATCCTATCATACACCGTCCGTCTCAACCAGGTCATCGTTGTCTTATTCCAGCTGTCCATGTTCAGCTTTAAACTATTACATGTCTGAAACAGCAGCACATTCCAACGTTCATATAAACTTGAGCTCTGAATATGTTCATCAAGTAACACTAAATACACTTGACTGATACAATAATTTCAATGCTTTAAAGCTGTTTGTTGTTGCCAAACACCACACTCTGCAATACTGTAGTTATGTGACAGTATCCTTTAAATAATCAAGCATTTTAATAACAAACCAGGGATTGATATTATGAACAACTATGCATCATCAGGGTATGTTGGCACCCTATCATCCAAGTAGGACCATTTGATTCAATAAGCTGTGTCTTATAATAAACAACAATTACTAAGAAACAATTCTGACCCAGAATCCTCATGGGAAAAATTATATCAGTATCCATGGTAACTCATTTGAACATACATAAATACATCACCATTTCCTATTACAATGAAAAAAGAAGAAGACCCTCACTTTAGCTTCTATATAGTTATTAACAAGAAGACAAAGTCATCAGTATCCCCCGCAATGGCAAAATACTCTTCATGATTATGTCTACGAGTTATGATTATGTCAACATATTTAGGTGTGTATATAGAAAAGTGGAAGGAGAGTATTGAAAGGTTTTTAAAGTTCTGCTCCGGAAAAGAGCACTACCACTAATTTCAGTCTAAGTCGAAATTGTTGCCATGGAAATGCCAAAAATATTTTATTCAGAATTCCAAAATCACCAAAAGGCACCAGTACACCACCAGATCTATCTATGTGCCAAGATTGGTGAAGAAATAGTGAACGGTTTTAGAGTTCAGCTCCGGAAAAGACAAATGTGCACGGACGGACGGACGGACGCACGCATGGACGGAGTCCATTTTAATACCCCCCGCAAAACGCGTTGCAGGGGATAACAAGAGGAAAGAAAAAGACCCTCACTTCCAACTTGTATATATCACAGTTATTAACAAGAGGAAAGAAAAAGACCCTCACTTCTAACTTGTATATATCACAGTTATTAACAAGGTCCCAGTTGGACCGGCCTTTCTCATCGAAACCAGTGAAGCCCAGCCCTGCTGCGTTATTTACAGTCTCTCCTGCAGAATAAAATTCATAATACAGCATATAACATGATAATACATTTTATGCCATTTGGTGCTAGTTTTAAGCCAAAAAACCAAACTTAAAAATATAACAAATAACAAAATATTTCATAATTTTCAGCATGTGATAAATGCAAAAAAACTATGTCCTTTACCTTCAAATCAAAATCACATCTTGAGCACGAAATAATTTCAAAACAGCCTCTCAGTGGAAAACACATCTTTAGCCCCAAATCACATGACAACATACATACTCATAGAATAAAACAGGTACTCATTTCAAAAGTGGAAGTCTTATAATCTGGACAATTCCGTTCTACAACAATGTTCTCTTAGTATAATAGTATGTTACATTGTTGAACTAAATATTTGTTTAAAAAACTTTCAAAATGCGTGAGTTTATACAGGTAATGCATGAGTGTGTGACATTGATGTAAAATGTGTGAGTCTCACGCAGGATGCAGATTTGTCCAAGTATGTTACCTTGTTTCTTTCACAGCTCACTTAATACGTGTGTTCCTAATACAGGATATCTACTCCCAAAACACACATCCATGATAACCTGTATATACTGGTAACACTACACAGTCCTAATGTGTACACACTAGAGTATGTGAGAATTCTGTTGTGAAATGTGATGTTCATAGCTGCACCAACATCTGTTGATCTCTGGCCTGTAATCTACTTGATACACATCAGTGTTTATTGTGTTACACATTAACAAACAATAGCTGAGCAACAAAGTAACATATTGGACAATTTCACTGCAGCGCAGGTAACATGTTTTTGCAACAGGCTTGGTCATTTAACAACATATAATACAAAGTGCAACATCAGATAGGTGCATCACATATCAGTCTTGTTTATGTTGCAGTGAGTGTATTTGGTGTTGTGTTCCTTTTAGCAATATTCCAGCAATATCACAGCGAGGGACACCAGAAATGGGCTTCACACACTGCATCCATGTGAGGAATCAAACCCAGGACTTCAGATAACAAGCAAACAAGCAAACACTTTAACCACTAAGTTCCTGCATCACCCCTTGTTTTATGTTGCAAAAAGCAATACTCCAGCCATAACATGGCAGCCTCTAAATAATCAAGATTAGACGGACAAAACTGAAAATGCGAGCAGTCATTTACACCAACAGGTCAGGATAGATATATATACACTCTGCACTGTGGTTTCGGGGACCTACCCAGGTCACCCCAGGGCTAGTTAGTCAGATCTCAGGGGAGAGTTAGAATTTTATTAAAAAGAATAATTGTCCCAGAAATTGATTGGAAAACATAATTGTGCCTCATGCTATCTTATAAAGAGAAACTGTCTGCAATAAGAACACAGTGTTGCAAGATAAAAATATGTTTTCATCCAGTCTCATAGTTTCACTTGAACAAATATTTGGGTGGGGTGGGTGGGGGTGGGGTTTTCCAGCTGCAGCTGAATCCTATCCAAAGAATATTAAACAGTTGGTCCCTAATATAACAATATCACAAGCCAAAACCTAATTCAATAACACTATCAACATGTACAACAAGCATGAAGACTTGTGGCTCTTGCATGGACAGGCAAAATGGATTTGGGCCTATTCTGCTCTGAAATTCCAATCAGACATTCATGATCGGACAATTTACGTTACCAACAGCAGAATTAAAGATTATATAATTTTTAGAAGCGTGCAAGAATGTCTCACCTAGTTTCCAGGCAAAGTAATATTTACACCTGGCAAATGTCATTGACACTAACAAGTATATGTGTCTGCCCAGGAAAGACATCTCGTAAAATGCGGCACCTGGAACAAAGGTAAGAGATGTGTTAAATATACCACAGGTCGAGAGTAGTGTAATATTGGCCAGTTCTTGATACTGTCATTGATTAGATGTTTTAAACTTGAAATTCTTCAACAATGACAATTCATGCCATTGTGGTATGATTTGATCAAATTAAACCAAAATTATACAGTGAGGAGAATGTTCTTTTACTAAAAAACACTGAAAATTTTAGAGGTCAGGGGGCAATCTAATTGATGCATATAATGTAATGGTATTTGTCACAAAAGTGACACTTGACGTAACAAAATCAACGAAACATTATCATCTTGTTTTACAGCTTTTGTCTGGTTAACCTGGAAAACATTTAGGCCGGAAACAGGCAAACCAGCTGTCTAAAGTCTGAACGCTCATCCCCGCAAAGGATGCAAGCAGGCAACAATGACAATGGGTCACAGATGAGTGATCACACAGACACAAGTCTTCCCAAATTGACACCAGTCTTTGCCTCCCGTGGTAAATGTTCGGCACTGGTGCTTTTTCACCTTTGAATTTTCATAGCTTGAAGAAACGATTATTTGTATCAACTTGAAAACAGAGCTGAAGGAAAAATAATCTTGTGGTTGATAACGACATCTTGTATAATTGTTATCCTTCAGATTTCAATGACTTCTGAAACTAGCATTGGACCTATAAGTCTGCTAACCCTGACACATTGTAGCAATTATCTATGTAGTGATATATTGTCATAGTTTGAGTAAAAAATACTCTAAATATTTTGTGCCTTGAAATGTTCAAAAATGGCTAGTGTTAGCTCAACTGCAAAGCTTTGCAGCACAGTCCTTAATATTACAAATTAGATCAAAGCAAGTTCTGCAAGTACTACTTCTTATAAGCAAGACTGACTGACTGACTGAGTTTGGTTTTACGCCGCTTTTAGCAATATTCCAGCAACATCACGGCGGGGGACACCAGAAATTATAAGCAAGAAGCGTGATGAAAAGATAAAAAGAGTTTATAAATACAGATGCATGTGCTGGGTCAGTTTAGTAACATTAGTTCTCAAATGAAGAAAAAATAATAATGCATCCTCACAGGATTTTGTTGTGGTTTGTCTGGAAAATAACTGCGTCATGTATCCTTTCTAAACTTTCCATCAGTGAAGCCACTACCACACTGGAGCGTCAAACATATAACTTCTCAGTATAGGTGAGTAAATATGCGCAATAATTTTGCATTGATATCAAAGCACAGACTTCAACGATCATAATATCATCCAACGATCATAATACCGTATTATGTTCTCCAAATGGCTACCTTGTCACACAAATGATCTCTGATATTTACCTTTTTTCAAAGCTTCATTTGCTGTTTAATGCAACAAAAGCAGCATTCCAGCAATATTTGACCTATAAATAACCATGTCTGGACTCAACGAGCAAATGACTGAAATTATTTGCGAAGATCCACGGCATCATGTTACGCTGACACAGCATCAATCAGGTCACCAAGCCTTACCACCCCATCTATTGAGTTGCCTCTCACGACTAGCATAGGTTACAGAGGGAAAATCATTCTCTTAATAACCATGGTGTAAAAGACTGACTGACTGAGTTTGGTTTTACTCCGCTTTTAGCAATATTCCAGCAACATCACGGCGGGGGACACCAGAAATGGGCTTCACACATTGTACCCATGTGGGGATTCGAACCCCGGTCTTTTCGGTGACGAGCCAACGCTTTAACCACTAGGCTACCCCACCGCCCCTTGGTGTAAAAGAACACTGACTGAGGTTTACATATGTAATCCGTGAATGTAAGAATACAAATACATACTTGTGAGGCCATTAAGATTGTAGAGATGTGGTGTGACAAAGACCATGAGAAACCCAATAAAAGCTGTTATACAGAACTTTTCCAGCACAACTTTCTGTAAAATGAAAATAGATCATAATACATTATGAAAAAGAGTAGTTATTTGTTAGTAATTAACAATGTTAAAAGCAGAAAAATATAAGACCACTACACTAACTGCATAGACAATAAACATGAAACAAATAGAATACACTTGTACAAAATATGTGTTCTAAAACAACTGTTTTAACCATACATACACTTCTTTATACATACACACTTTGTGCACTTATCCTGACACAACACACTGCAATTACATTTTTCATCTCCATTACAGCACAGAGAAAACAGAATGTGCCTTTTCTACAAGACATAAATTACCAGTAATGTCTAAAAAAATTCTGATACTGAGTGTAAACTGTAAATGTATTTATCATGATGCATTGTGACACCTCTAGTGTATCTTACATCTGTCTGGAAAATGTCCTCTGTTTCCTCTGGCAGTTTGTCAGACTTTCCCTGCAACATGAACATAGTCAATCTGTATCCCATGATCTATCACAGAGTTTATAAATGTAACATGTTTTCACCATGTCTTTCTGGTACTTGTGTGTAGGGGTGACTATTGAGGGGGCAACAACTATTGCGATAGCGATAGCTTATTGCGACCAACTATTGCAATACTATTGCAATAGTTTTTTCTCTCCTTGGATTGTCTCATTTGAACTTGAAGTCATTTCCCTCTCTTTTAATAACATGGCAAGGAACTTGAAACCCAGATCAAGTAAACAGTTAAAAATATGAATTCAATGAAACTGCAAGTCTGCACCCAAACAATAAAAAAGCCTCAAAGTGAACGGATCTGGTACTTCCTGTATTTTGCGCTGCGCATTTATTAACAGATGTCAATTTCTAAACTACCGATAGTCACACATACTATCGATGCATCAGTAGTTTTTCGCTTCAACCATCGATTAATTTCTATGAGACTCAACAATTGCAATCCATTGATAGTTCGATGCATCATTACAGCACTACTTGTATGCATAATCAAAACTATGGCATCAAGGCCATATACCATGTATACTGTGTATTGTTAGTTCTACATAATCAAGGCCATGTGTGTATACTCAATACTATCACACCAAGGACATGTTTGTGTATAATCCATCCTATGGCATCAAGGACATGTTTGTGTATAATCAATACTATGGCATCAAGGACATGTTATTGTTTAATCAGTAATATGGCATCAAGGACATGTGTATAATCCACATACTATGGCATTAATCAGTATAATAGTATTATGGCATCAAGGAATATGGCATCAAGGACATATTACTGTATCAGTGTATAATCAATACTATGGCATCAAGGACATATTAGTGTATAATCAATACTATGGCATCAAGGACATATTAGTGTATAATCAATACTATGGCATCAAGGCATTAGTGTATAATCAATACTATGGCATCAAGGACATTTTCGTGTATAATCAGTACTATGGCATTAAGGACATGTTAGTGTATAATCAGTACTATGGCATCAAGGACATGTTAGTGTATAATCAGTACTATGGCATCAAGGACATGTGTATAATCAGTACTATGGCATTAAGGACATATCAGTGTATAATCCATACTATGGCATCAAGGACATATCAGTGTATAATCAATACTATGGCATCAAGGACATATCAGTGTATAATCAATACTATGGCATCAAGGACATATTAATGTGTAATCAATACTATGGCTTCAAGGGCATGTTTGTGTATAATGAATACCATATCATGAAGGCCAAGAGAGTGCATAATCAATAATATTTCATCGATGCCATTTGTGTTTAATCAGTACTAGGTCATCATCTAAACTATGATGAAGGTCATGTATATGTATATGTATAATCACTACTCTGTCATTAAGGCTGTGAGTGTGCGTGTATTAACAATACTATGGCAACTATTCCATGTGTCTGTAAGATTATTATGATGTTCCTGCATTATGTATATCAATACAAAGAAAATATACAACCTAAACATATACCATATACAATAATTTTACAAGAAACTTGAGATTAGTAGCTACTTAGATGACTCATCATTTACTTTATGTTTCAACCTACATTGACAGAGGATGGCTTCGTGGGCTCACTAAAGTTTCGTCCATCAATGAAGGCGATGTAGTCAGAGTAGAAGGCCATGGGACCACACATGATGCCATGGAAGGAGAAGAGGTAGCTGTAGAATGACAACAGGCCTGGCATGCTCCTGGCAAATAAAGAGGTACTACCATGGTTACAGCGGAGAGTGCTTCAGACAACAATATTAGAATGATATATTGGCTGTTTACAAAGCATATACAACCACTTAATGTTAGAAAATCATTCAACAACATCAAAATCTGTTGTTGAACATATTGTATCACAGTTTCTAAGACAAGTATGTCAAAGAATACACTTTAACATAGGTCCGGTTTCAAGGGTGACTATCTATATTACATAGAGGCACTTACACAGTTACTTCTAACTATGGCAAGGCTTAAAATAAGACACATTTCTTTATGATGCCAACAGTAGGCATGTGAAAATCAACACTTTCAGTTCAGCCAGTTCACATTATCATGATTATACATCTACTCCATCTATGATGCTTGGTCCTCAGTGTAGCATTGACTCACCTGACTGCCTGACTCCCTTCTCTGTAGGCTACGTGATGAGCCACGACTCAGCAAATTGATCTGACTGCAAGACTTTCATGGTCAGCAGGATAGTTGGTGAAGCATTGACTCACCTGACTGCCCTTCTCTGTAGGCTACGTGATGAGCCACGACTCAGCAAATTGATCTGACTGCAAGACTTTCATAGTCAGCAGGATAGTTGGTGAAGCATTGACTCACCTGACTGCCTGACTCCCCTGCTCTGTAGGCTACGTGATGAGCCACGACTCAGCAAATTGATCTGACTGCAAGACTTTCATGGTCAGCAGGATAGTTGGTGAAGCATTGACTCACCTGACTGCCTAACTCTATACTGTGTCATAGTGTGTAGGATAGGATAGTTGCCTAACTCTACCTGGTGTGTGTAGGATGGTTCCAACCTGACTACGATGCATCAACTCACCTGACTGCCTAACTCTATACTGTGTAGGATAGTTGGCGATGCATCAACTCACCTGACTGCCTGACTCTTCTGGTCTGCAGACAGCTCTTCCTCAGACTTCACTGTGCCATCATGGACGGAGAACGCCAGACTTGTCAACTTCTGTACCATGATCATCATTGGCCTGAAGTAAGGTAAGCAACAGCAGTGTTAAGTTATGTTTACTCTCCTGATGACAAGGTTGATGTGGTTACAGGAGTTAAAACATGGCCGATAGAGAACAGAAACAGTGGGTCGGGTTTACAAATCATGACAATAATAATGTAAGTCATATCATCCTGGAAATATACTAAACCATCACGACCAAGACTAGTCAGTCAACATGATCATGATGAAAATAAAAAGTCAGAATCACTATAGGACAGTTTGAATGTAAATCCAAGGAAAGAAAGTGATTTTATATAGAGATCGATCTATGACTATTCATCATTAGAGAGATGTGACTGACTGACCCTGTGATGTCGAGTGTGTATCCGCCGTAGTCGTAGATCTGCCTGAAGATGTGTGTGACGGAGAGGTAGAGCATAGCAAAGCCAAACACTGCCTTGTGCATCCACTCCTGACTGCCCATCAGCATGATCAAGTAGCACACCAGTGACAGGAAGAACAGGTGCCATATTTGACTGAAATGGACAACGATAACATTTACTACTGTTACAAGAGAAAAGTACCACATTCAAACACTTCATGAAAGTTAGGAGATTTAGAAATTCTTGCATAATTAACAATATGACTGGACTGACTTTCTTTGCATATCCAACATGTAGAAAAGATACAGTCTCCGACTGTGGTAAAGATCCATAAAGCAGGTATCTACAGTACTCACTATACAGGTCTGTTTCCCTTTTTTCCCAGGCTTCAATATCATTTAACATGTCAACACGGTCAAGGTTATATATTTTCATATAAATGAAAGTATAAATTATTCCAAGAGCAATACTCAATCCATTTGAATACAATAAGCATGGTAAAAATGATAAACAAAGAGCATCATTGAAAAACAGGGAAAGTTCTATGGATATACAACTTATTTATTATTAAAATAAGCTTACATTAATAATAAAGAAGTTGGTTATCCATAGAATAGGCTTACATTAATAATAAAGAAGTTGTATAGCCATAGAACTTTCCCTGTTGTCTATCACACCAACTTCTAAATGCTACTCAAAGAGTGAGTGAGTGAATGAGTGAGTGAGTGAGTGAGTGTAGTTTTTTAGTTTAGTTTAGTTTAGTTTAGTTTTAGGCTGCACTCAGCAATATTCCAGCTATATGGCAGCGGTCTGTAAACAATTGAGTCTGGACCAGACAATCCAGTGATCAACAGCAAGAGCATCGATCTACACAATTGGGATACGATGACATGTGTCAGCAAGTCACAGCAAGCCTGACCACCCGATCCCGTTAGTCGCCTCTTACGACAAGCATGGGTTACCATGGTTACTAATGATCAATTCTAACACCACTCAAAGAAATTTAGCTAAACCTGTAGAGGTTTCCAATTCTTCGAAGAGAATCGTTTTTGGGGTACATATATGCATTTTCTGCAGCTGAAAATGTCATGTGACAGTTGTATTAATGTTTTAATAAAAATATTGTACAATAAATAACAAGTGTTTGCCACTGATATGGCAATGTCCCCCGCCGCTAAAGAATGGAATATCTATATTTACTACTTTTTATTTTTTGGTCACATACAAGATGCCTGAAATGACTGGTGTCTGCATAATCACCAAATGTAGGCTGTCAACATAATTGAAAACATTTGGTGCAATGTTTTATGAGATATCGCGTTTAAATAAGCAGTCAAAGTGTCATGGTGACCTTGAAGATAAGGTCAAGTTCACCCAAATAAACTGGTGTCTGCATAATGCCCCAATGTAGGCTGTCACCAAATTTGAAGACAAATATCTTTTTATATATTATACGGCCCCCACCACGTGGAGTTACCCCCCTTCTACGCATGCGCAGCCAACCAGGTAAGCACCTAGGCCCGTATCATGATTCCTTCTTCTGAATAAATCAGTGAACAGAATTGCGGGGAGGTGGGTGGCCCTACCCCAAGGACGATTCTCTTCAAAGAATTGGAAACCTCTACAGGTTTAGCTAATTCTTTTCATAGAGATCGTCCTTGGGGTACATATATGCATTAACTCAGACGCCCAAAGACCGGAGGCTAGGGAGGAGGCAATTCTGTCAAAGTACACATAAATAGCGATCGTTAGGAAGAAAGTAACTGACGCCACAACACTCACCTGTCATGTGTCCCGAAGCTTCCGCGAGAGGCATGATGGGAGGGTAACCGACATGGAGGAACGTACTGAGACCCGACCTCACAAGTTAAGCAAAACAGTTTGCACACTGTGCGAAAGTAAAAACCCTGCCCACATCGTGAAATCTTAAAAGAGCACCGTAAGAGGGAAAACCAACTCACAACCGACTATTACAGTACAACCAGAAATGATTGAGAATTTAAGATTGTAATTTTTTTTTTTTTTCACTCATTACTCACGTATTAAATGTGAATATTAGCAGAACATAACTCCAGATTCAAAGACAGGTGAACAGTTAGTATTTTGTAAGTCACCATGGGCAGCAATGCAGGCTTCAATGCGGCGGGGCATACTACTGATCAAAGAAGTTAGAAAGTCGTGGTCCATGCTGTCCCAATATCGGACAACCTCTTCTTTCATTTCAGCAATATTTGTCAGATTTTTCTTATTGACACAATTTTTTTTCATAAGTCCACAAACATTTTCTATTGGATTTAGGTCAGGGCTATAGCTTGGCCAATCTAATAATGCCATATTTTGGGTCCGAAACCAGGCCTGTGAATGCTTTGAACGATGTTTTGGGGCGTTGTTCTGCTGGAAAATCCAAAAATTTCCATAGAACACATGAGCAGATGGAAGTAAATGTCCCTCGAGAATATCTGAGTACCGCTCACTGTTCATATTCCCTTCAAATACACACAGGGGCGTTGCCCCTAACACAGATATGCCACCCCACACGTTAAATTTCGGACTGTACTTTGGGCGCTGATACAAAGGTTTTTCAGTTTGTTTGGTCCAGAATTTCAGTGTTTTAGGAAACAGCCACACACAACTTTCATCTGAGAAAATCACATTGTCCCAGTTAAAATTTCTATGCTGTAAGCACCAATTCAACTTTCGTTCCTTTTGTTCAGGTTTCATGATCGGTGATGGAATTCCTCGACTTTTCTGCCAACCCATTGCATGCAGCTCAGTTCTAATTGTCTCCTTACAGACAGCCACAGTTCCTCTATCAATCATATCCAGCCTGAAGTTTTCTAAACTCCTTCGTTTGTTTTTAGAAACAAGAATACCAAGCCACATCCTGTCACCGACAGTCAATTTTCTGGGTCTACCTGCGCCTCCCTGGTGCTCAATGCCATATCCATTTGCAAAATCTTTCAAAACACGATAAACAGTGGACAAAGGGATGCCTGTTCTACTTGAAATCACTTTAGCTGATCTGATGTCCTTGTTATGATACTCTAAAATCAACTTCCTCTTCTCTAAATCATCCATACTGAGGATCACTGAAAATGTCGTCTGCTAGCAAGTAAACAAAGGGGGATAACTCTTCACATACTAATGAAAAGGGATTAACAGAGTTGTCTCTCTTGAATGAAACCAAGCACTTGATAGCTGGTCAAGGTTGTTTATACTAGAAATCCAATTAAACATATTCCTCAAATTCACAATAATTTCTGGTCATGCTCATGAGAGAAATCGAAAGTAGTTATATATGACAACAGCGGATATATCAATTATACACCATTGAAAACAGCGTCATCTGTCCAGATAACCAAGACTCACTTTCGGTCAGGGTGGCAGGACACTGTCCACTGGAGAGAACAGAACGTCCAAAACACGCTCGATCACGTGAATGTGTATCGAGCTGATAGTGCCTGATAAAAGTGCTAGGCCTGCTCCAAATAGCGGCAGAGCATATCTCTTAAATGGGCAGTGCCGCTGCAAAAGCCTTTGCAGTGGCCACTGCCCTTACCAAGGAGCTTTTAACCCCTCAGGAGAAGGCTTGCCCTTAGCCTGAAAAGCACTACAAATGACCGATACAAGCCAGTGTGATAGGGTCTGTTTGCTAGCCAGCATCCAAGCCTTCCCGCCACCGTAACAGCAGAACAGATGGGTACCCGTACGGATCCCTTGTGTTTGTTTGATATAGACCTTGAGGGTCTTACGGACATTCAACGGGTGAGTGCTCGTTGCAGAGGTCCCCCATGTGGAAGGCTGGGTAAGAGTAGGAAGTTCGATATGAGCTGTCACATGGAAAGCGTGATCGATCTTCGGACGGTAAGTATCCGGGAGGCGAATACTGACACGATCTGGATGGAACACAGTCAGCGCCGGGTCTGCCGACATAGCATGTAAGTCGCCAACCCTTCGCCCAGATGTTACCCGCCACCAGAAATATTGCCTTTCATGTTAACAGCTGAATGGAAATAGCCGATAGACGTGAGAAAGTATGACAGGACAGCCAATCTAGCACGACTGACATATCCCAAGGTGGGCTGGTATGCCTGAGAGCAGGTCGAACCCGATCCACGACAGCTAAGAAGAGCTGCATAAGAGGATGCTGCCCCAGAAGAGCACCATCGACAGGGGTGTGGAAAGTGGAAATAGCGGTGGAGTAGCCACAAATGGTTGAAGCCGCCGAGCCTTCTTCCAAACGAGCTTGCAGAAACTCCAATACTCGGACTAAATCCGTAGAAAATCCCCTTATCTGAACACCAGCGCGCATAGCGGGACCACCTATCCTCATATTAAACTTTTGTAGAATCCCGCCTCAAAGCCAGAATTGTGTCTGCAACTGCTGCAGGAATTCAGTGTGCCTCGAGACTAGACCTGACAGAGGCAAAGCCACCCACTGAATCCTTGGATTGGGGTGTGGCTCGCTGTTCTGAGTGAGAATGTCCGGTTGCAAAGGTAATAGAACAGGAGGCTGAGCCAGAAACCTGAGAATTACCGGAAGCCAGCTCTGTGACGGCCATAGTGGTGCAAGTAGCACAAGTAGCCGAGCTGGGAGAGGACCCGGGGAATGAGTGGAAGAGGCGTCGGAAGCCAACTGGTCTGGTATTCGAGAGCAGAACACGGGTATCTGATTCGTCCTGCCGGACGCAAACAGATCCACCTGGAACAATCCGTACAACTGGGAGATCACTCCGAATATCTGCCGGTCGAGCATCCACTCGTGCAGGGCCAGGATGTGGCGAGAGAGAGCGTCTACTCACACGTTCTCCAGCACCAGGAGATAAACAGGAATCACCTGACAGTCACACTGGTCGAACTAGAGGAGAAATTCCCACGTCTCCCGAAGGAGCGCAAGGGACACCGTGCCGCCTTGCTTCAGGATGTACATCATGGCCGTACGGTTGTCCAACTGAAGATGGACCACCTGGCCCTGAATATTCTCCTGTAAGCGTTCGAAAACCAACCGCACAGCTCTCAGTTCTAAGACATTGATGTGAAGGCGGGCCTCGGCTCCGGCCAGAATATATATACACACACACACACATGCGCCTGTGAGGGACGCATCGTTTTGAACTGTAGTGTAAGAGCTGGCGTCAGGATTTCCAAAGGGACCCCCTTGGAGAGATTCCCAAGTTCCAACAAGGCCTTAGAGTCCTTAAAGGAGGTTGCTGCTGCCTCAGCCTCCTGAATGACCTGCTGTGCCCCCGGAAACAACGTCGCTCCCAGACGAAACGGAAGGGCCAGCAAGGTCTGCTGTGTTGCTGCCGAATAATGGGATGTAGACAGCCACAGCTTGCGCATCCTCATGACTGCACACATCACCGTGGACGCGGCAGACCTTAAAGAGTCTCGCGTCAGGTGGGCCTGAACTTCGGATAGTTGGCGGAGAACAACATGCGGGTAAACGTCACCAGTGCTCCCTTCCGCCTCCAGAGCCGACCTTTGCATTGAGGAAAGGTACGCCTCGTGGACCACGACCCACACCTGCTGCACGGCATTTTGGTAGACTACCTCATAAGTCCGGTATGCCTGCCGCAGGGGGGCGCCCGACTTGGCAAACGTTGGTACTAACTGCCCTTGCTTGGCAGCCGGGGCTGCACCTGAGGAAGCCGAGCCTCCCCTGAGGGCGACCGAAGTAAACACGCACTCGTCCACCACCGGCACAAAGAACAGAGAATCATCACCCAGCTGATACCTCTTAACGAGTTCGGGAAGATCGAACCTGAGGCGAGAACCAACCAGGAGAGGATCCATCACGTCCTGCACCAGGGAGGGCAAGATGCAGAGCTGTGTCTGAGAGGGCTGCCGAAGGGCAAACGCCTCCCCTGGCAGGCGGAACTCTGTCGAGTCCGAGCTACATGTTGGCACCGCGGCTTGGGGAATATACTCAGCAATACGTTGCCTACCCTCCCGGAGAGACGATGAAAAACGGACCTCCCCAACCTCCATAGACTCGGCTCCATAGAGCCGAGCCCGAGCCAGAATTCGGATCTCCACGTGAAGAGGAGCCAGACTGGTAGGCCGAGTCACAGACGCCGCGGGAAGGGAAGAGCTGAAAGAACTCTCAGCTCCGGCAACCGACACAACACTCGAAACCCGGTCCCGAGACACGGGAGGAAGCCTGGACAGAACCGGCTCATCCACTCTCATGGGGCGGGGTGGCGCAGGGTCCGGAACCCCAGGAATCCTCAACGGACCCTGCGCCAACACCGAGAGAGGGACTGGGAGCAAACCCTCCCCCTCCGGTGTAGCCGAGGCGTCCGGACCCGAAGCTGAAGGCAATGGATCGACAGACGCCTCCACGCCAAGGAATCGAGCCGAGCTCGGCGATCCCACCCGCGGACTCTCGGACAGCATAAGCATTTATCATGCTTATCTGAGCGAGGGATATTTTGCCTGCAGGCAGTACAGCCTGTAAGCAAACACGCAAGCATGAAGCTAATGGCGCAACACAACAACAAAAAGATACATGTACAAAACATTGAAAATTACGTGAATGCGACAATGCGACATGAAATACTTGGTTAATAACGCAATATTTCAACCATGTGGCATGCTAAACTTCCCGCCGTGGAATAGCAACACGTGCGTAAACCACAGGAAAGCTAGCGTAAAAGTTTAATACAAAGTCACATAAATGAGAAATAACTGACTGCAAAGTCAATAAAACGTTTCTCAAAGAACGAATAAAGACCATACACACAGTAGTTGAAGTCTCAGACATTCTTCCGACAAGATGTAAATCAGCTTGGAACTCTCAGGAAACACGTGTGAACTGCAAGAGTGACAGCAGAAGGAATGATGATAGGGGCCTAGGTGCTTACCTGGTTGGCCGCGCATGCGTAGCTGGGGGTAACTCCACGTGGTGGGGCCCGTATAATAAATAAAAAAGATTTTTATTTATTGTACAATATTTTTATTAAAACATTGAGACAACTGTCACATGACATTTTCAGCCGCAGAAAATGCATATATGTACCCCAAAGACGATCTCTATGAAAAAGAATAAAGTTTATTTATAATACAACAATAACAGCCATGACAACAAAGCCTGGAATGTATAATAGTTTTACTTTTTCAGGTCAACTAGATTGTAGCACATGTATTTATACACTGTCAGAATGTGTAGTATGTCTGAGGTGTGCAAATAAAACAGTTGGATAAGTAAAGAAAATAAAGAATTAAGCCTTCAACATGTTCATCAGAAGTTCATGTACAAATGTTCTTTGCTACTATGGTACTTACTATCCAAAGCAGAAGAATGTCAGGGTAAATCCAACAACAATCTCTATGGCATGCCGAATAGTTGCACTGGTCGTCTTGGGGCCATATACTTTCCTGAAGGGGATAGCCAACCCAAGTCCAATCAGCTGACACAGCAGAAAGTTGATCTACAAACACAAGAGGTGTTGTTAGGTCAATCAGAGCACTAAACATGAACACTCTACAGACTCATAATCATGAGGATGGGGATGGGTGGGTGGTTGTATGAGTTAGTGAGTAGAGTTAACAATCTGGCAATGAGGAGTTTTATTAATTTTTAATTTCTAGTTCACAAAATGAACTGATAATGAATTTCCACTGACATTGTCTATCTACTCATAAGTGAGTGAGTGAGTTTAGTTCTACGCCACACTCAGCAATGTTCCAGCTGTATGGCAGCGGTCTGTAAATAATCGAGTCTGGACCAGACAATCCAGTGATCAACAGCATGTGCATTGATCTACGCAATTGGGACACGATCCACTCATAAGGGAGTATTCCACAAGGAATAGTTGCTTCCTGAATTCTACTGGTGTCAAGACCCAACAGACTTCCCTATAAAGTTTTGAACATTAAATACACAATGATGAACAACAAAATCTCTTGTAGCATGCCTATCAAAACAAGCTTTTCAGCAGGAATCAGTATGTTAATAATGTTCAATAATGTCTAATTGAAAAAATCCAAACGCCTTTGGCACAGTGGTCAATAAGAACGAACCATTATACAGATAGGAAAGAAGAAAAAAATTCAGAAACACAAGGAGGTATTTGAACCTAGGCTTGGGATCCTTTTCATCACAGTCATAACCCAGATACTGACTGTTGAAGGCAGAGGTGGTCCCCAGATCCAAATAATGCAACACCAATCAAAGACTCAAAGACTTGCCTTAATTTGGGACACGACAACAGTTCTGTTTACCCACTGTTGATAATTGTTCCAAATCAATAAAAATGTCAATGCGTACATTCACTTATCAAAAGAGTTCAAATAGAATTTTAAACACATACAACAGTCAATAGTATGTAATAAAACTGAAGATACAATTTCCACTATTCATTCAAGGTGTTACCACTTTCATAGATTGTGATGTTTCTAATACAAGTTATCGTTAGGAACTCATCATCTAGATTACTGCTCCTGAAATGCAGCTGAGTGTGTCCTGTTGCTCCCTAATGACCTCCAACAGTTCCACACATACAAGGCAACAATACATGCCCTAAGGCACTCAGTATTGATCCTGAAACACTTCAAATATTTTGCACCTGTTGCAATCAACATTATCATCAACCCAGAACACGCGGTGTGTTCATATTTCGAATTTATCATGATGTATATCCTTGACACAATTGCCACCATGGGCTTTGTCCTTAAAGGAAACAAAACTGTCAAAATATGGATCGGTTGTTTCTTTATGGAATACAAATTTGCTTATTATGGACTACAACTTTAACAGGTTCTACTTGTGATCAGCAGTATTCTCGATGTGCTGCACGAAGCAACACTTATCAGAGGATTGAAGAATCAGAAGCTGTCTATCGTAACAAACGGTACACAATAAAGGGGTATAGCCAAACTGACATGTTCATTGTTGGTTAATGTCCACTTAAAGTGTGAAGCTAGCGGTGAATGTCAGTATTATATACAGTATTATGTGCAGCTAAAAAGTACACAGTATCCCTTTAAAGACTTCCAGTAAACAAACTTGGTCAATAAAATGTGATATCTGAGATAAATTATCACTAGACATGATGATTTACAACTTGAATTCAATTTTCTGTTCTGCTTGGCAACGTCCTATACACAGATATACTGTGTGTATGTTCTTGTAAACTAAGCCGGAAACTAGCAATCAGCTGTATGCACACTTTTCACAAATATGCCAGTGGTTCAGTTAAAATCAACAATATAACTTCAAAGAATTTTAGTGCCATGTTATCAGAGCTCCAGATAAGATTTAGCTCATGTGGGTACTGTACCCACTGTATTGTTTTGGAGTGGGTATTATGAATGTTGAGTGGGTATTTCATTTTCCGTTACCCACTGCTTTCAAATATGTGCGTATTTCAGTCATTTTAATCACCAAAGTATTATGTCATTGAGTAAGTTTACTAAGCAAGTATGTTCTGCCTTATGTCATACCTAATCAAAACCAACTTAAATATAATGGAAATGATTTCATAAAAAATCACTCATCCTATACTAACAGTACAACTTGATTGCAATCGATGTCTTTTTGATGGCGCAAGCGATTTTTATAAATATATTCCGTACGCATTTGTTTTAAACTTTTTGCGTATCTAACATTTTAAATGCATAATTTGGACGCAACAATTATTTTTCAATGCATAATTGGAATTTTATATGCGTATTTTACCCGGATACGCAGCTTATCTGGGCCTCTGATGATATGATATTTATTTATCAGAAATTATATATTCAAATACAGAGTTATTTTTGTTGTTGCTTTTACTATAAAGTTAACAACATAATAGTATTTTGAAATAGTTTATGGATAATTTTTTACATACGTAACGGTTATATAGAAATTAAAGAAAACCAATGAAAACATGGTAATTACAACTAAAAAGGTTACAGGCATAACATCAGGCCACATCAATCTACACATAGGAACAATATCCCATACATCTGAAGCTGTACAAAGACACTTGTTTGAAATAATAATATATAAAGCTTTTCAGGATATAACTTGTTTTCGTCTCTGAAGCCATTGTTTGTTTCAGGTGTTTCACATCAGTGTCGAGTGTCATTGGTCAGCAGAGATGAATATGTTAAATACTTCCTAACATCTAGAAACACAACCTGAAATGTCTTGTAGCTTTACATGCTGAAGGACTTGCTTTCCAGTCTTCCAACTCTGGATCTCTTATACAGCTCAAAATGTCATTGGTAACAATGTGATTAAACAACAAATGGCTTCCTGGTAAATGGAGTCATACGTTATTGTTGGACTCACATTCTGAACAGACATTTTGATTGGTTCTTGATTTGAGTGACAAACATTCTGTGCTTGTTGTTAAGTTAATACTGAACATAGAGACAGTGACATGACCAAATTTCAGAAGCAATGATATTATGGTGAACATGGTGATTAGACAAGGGTACGTAATATAGTTATAAATTTATATGTTATATTTGGGATTACACTTTCTTAGTAAAGTACAGATTCTAATTTCTAGTACTTTTGGGGTTGAGTCCCATCCGGGATTCGAACCCACACCCTCAGAGTCAGGCACCTAATCGCCAGCACACAAAGTCAGATGCCTAGACTGCTCAGCCACCGCAGCTTCCACAAAAATGGAAGTCGGACAACTGGTAGTCTAGACTGCGGACTTTGTGCACCCCTCTGATAGGCGTAAATTGGAACAGCTCCCATGGCCGAAAGCTATGAAATACACAATGCCATTTAGAAAGTGGTCAGATGTAACATATGTTATATTTGGGATTACACTTTCTTAGTAAAGTAAAAATTCTAGTACTTTTGATAATTGAAGATGCATGTTCGTATATCTTTACTAATCACGATATGGGGATATTATCCATTGACAGTTTCTACATGCGAGTTACTGGAAAATTAATCCTGTGTTCTTCATGCATAAAAGTTGAAAATGGGTGCAAAAGAAATACAGATGCAGGGATGCTGAAAACTTGCATTCGTGTTTAGGAATGACTGGTGATAATGCTGATATCTCCTAACTTCAACTACCTGTATACATTACCAGCACATGATGAAAGACTGGCTGGCTGAGTATGGTTTTCACGCCGTTTTTAGCAATATTCCAGCAATATCACGGCGGGGACAAAGAAATGGGCTTCACAAGTTGTACCCATGTGGGGAATCGAACCCGGGCCTTCGGCGTGACGAGCAAACGCTTCAACCACTAGGCTACTAGAGCTGTGTATCGTGGTCTAAGTGGCGAGACGATATATCCCGATACCAGTTTACTTAGGCGAGCCGATATATCATGAAAGTATTGGCAAGGAACCTGCGAGACGATTATCATCACGATACAATGGTGGCGATACGATACGTATCCCGATACTTTACAATTTCTAATAGCAGAACATATATGATAGATAAAATGACTTTATCTTTAAAATCTTTATTTGTTATACAGCAGATCTTGTGTTACATTCACACACACTTAAAAAGCTGTTCATTTAATAAAGTTTCAGCATTTAATGCTTTTAAAGTACAGTCAAACATATTCAGTATACTTTGATCTAACATATATAAGTTTGAAACCCAAGTTTCCTTTGGGAAAGTGTGTTTCTGCACCGATGCTTTCACAAACAATTGAATGTAATTTATATCAGAATTCAGAATCACTGAAAAAAACTCTTAAGTATGCTTTCTAAATTTTATCTTCTCTTTGTTCTCTTTCTTAACAAAGCTAAGGCGTCGTTAGGTGTATGTTAATAAATGGTGTTATTTGTCAAACAACTAAAACATATTTCAATTACTAAAGACAAGTATTCTACAGTTCACAGAGTTTGAAACATGTTCACACTCTTTCACTTATACACCAACTCCTTTGTCCATGTAACAAAGATAACAGACACAAACAAATTCCTAAAAGGTTCAATTTGTTTTTAAAATTCAGAAGAATTTCAAAGAGACTCCCTTCCTATTCCTAATGCAATACTCCTTACAACTTTAACTAGTATTGAAGTTGTATCGGGATATATCGTCTCTTGTGGCGATACATCGATGTATCGTGGACCCTTGCGATATAAATATCCTGATATATTGCCTAAATGTGTTTTGTATCGATGCACTCGTATCGCGTAGTTGACGATGCAAACATCGATACTATCGATGAATCGTTACACCACTATAGGCTACCCCACCGCCCCACATGATGAAAGAAAACAGATGTACAAATGTAGTACTTGAAGCTCTGTTCACCAAATTCACACATAGATAGCTGATAGTGTAGCAATATTTAGCAAGTTGAGCTTAAAAGCCAAAAACAGAATTTTAATAGATGCTGGTTTGGGATGCTGTTGACATCAGACTGAAAATGCCTACCTGATGAAAGTCAGTACAAGGATATGGCTACCTGAAGGTACAATCTCTTTCATTCATCACAAAAGAACTTTACCC